CCCCCCCTTTTCCCCGGCATCCCCCCCCCCCTAACCCCCCCCGCCCCCTCTCCGGAAAACCAAGGAAGTCACTAAACTCATGCTGTTCCCATCGTACTTAAGGACCACATCCCAGAGATAGATTCGAGCACCCGGAAAATTGTCGAAAGAAGGTTGGAAAAGTGTCGAAACAGTGTCGGGCGAGTGTCTCCCAGGGCCCGACACGTGAAAATGCTCGAGTTTTGGGGTGCTGTTCTGGCGCTCGAAACTATATTCTGGTGGTCAAGGCTAAAGTAGGTTGGAACATCATAACACTACAGGCTCGAAACCCCCACGCCCAGAAAACCGGGGGGGGTCATTTTCGGTTCGAGCCCCCCCCCTCTGCAGAAAACCGGGAGGGGGTCACTACCGATTCGAACTCTGTCCACCCCCGCAGAAAAAGGGTCTCTACCGGTTTGAACCCCCCCCGATACTTTTCGCTGGCAAACGACTCCCGGGCCCCCACCACCGTCCGCACCACATCCCCCACTGCTGTCCCCAGCACCACTGCCCCCACCACCACTGTCCCCATTGTTCCCACCACCGTCCCCACTGTCCCCACCAGTGCCCCCACCACTGTCGCATTGTCCCCACTGTCCCCACCACTGTTCCCAACACGGCCCCACTCTCCCCACTGTCCCCACGGTCCCCACCACTGTCCCACTGCCCCCAGTGTCCCATTGTCCCACTGTCCCCGCCGCTGTCCCACTGAGTTGTCCCACTGTTCCCACCACTATCCCCACTGTCCCCATCACTGTCCCCACTGCACGTTTGTCCCATTCTCCCACCACCGTCCTCGCCACCGCCCTCACCACTGCCCCCACCACCACTGTCCCCACCATCGTCCCACTGTTCCCAATCCCCGCCACAGTCCCACTGTCCCCACACCACTCTCCCCACCACCACCGCCCCCACCACTGTCCCAGTCCCCACTGTTCCCACCATCGTCCCCGCTGTCCCCACCAGTACCCCCGTCAGTGTCTCACTGTCCCCATTCCCCCCACCATTGTCCCACCACGGTCCCAGTCTCCCCATTGTCCCCACTGCCCCCACCACTGTCCCACTGTCCCCACTGTTCCCGCCGCTGTCCCACTGTCCCTATTGTCCCCGCCGCTGTCCCACTGTGCTGCCCCACTGTCCCCAGTGTCCCCACCACTGTCCCACTGTCCCCACTGTCCCCGCCACTCTCCCCACTGCATTACTGTCCCACCACCGTCCTCACCACCGCCATCACCACTGTCCCAACCTCTATCGTCCCCACCACAGTCCCACTGTCCCCACTGTCCCGCTGTCCCCTCGCCGCTGTCCCCGCCACCACCACCCCCACCACTGTCCCACTGTCCGCACCGCTGCCCCACTGTCCCCACACCACTGTCCCCGCCACCACCGCCCCCACCACTGTCCCAGTATCCCCACCACTACCCAACTGTCCCGAGGAGCGGGAATCGTTTGCCGGCGGCGAGCGGGGGGGAAGGGGTTCGAACCGGTATCGGCCCTTCCTTTCCATGATGGAGTGGAGGGGGGGGAATGGGAGGTTCGAGCCGGGAGTGCCCCCCCCGGGTTTTCGAGGGGGGGTGGCGGCGGTCTGGTAACCCCAGTGGCCCCCCAGCTTCCCGCCAGCAGCGCTAGAACACGCTCTTTCAGACCTCTGCACCGCTCATCGCGCGAACCATAATATTCCTACTCGTTTTCTTTGTGAGGTGTGTTTTCTTCTCCGAAATATTATCGTGTGCATTCATACGATTAGTAATGTGAGTATTTAGTATGGTTATGTTTAGCCTTCGTCCCCTTGGTATTCGTAGTGGCATTACTCTTAGTATTATGCGTACTAGCATTAACCATATAATTACGATTCGAATTATGTTTGTTCTTAGTTTGGGCCTTATGCTTCTTCTTAGCACATTCATAGTACTATTGGTGTTCCTCTTCTTTTCACCACCTTCGTACTATTATGATTCGCCCCCGTCTTCGGCTGCAACTGCTCGCACGCGCCGCTGCCAGCGTTCTAGTTGGTGACGCCGGGCTCCCTCGTCTCGCCTCCCGCCAGCCACGTCGATGCAATCACTGCTCGAACCCTCTACATGGCCCTGCTGGAGCCTTCGTTGGTGTAGCTGATGGTGTTGGGTTGGTTTGTCGCCTCCGCGGGGCAAGGGCGGCGAGCTATGTCGGAGTTGGGTTCCAGCTTCGCCTCCGTCGCTGCGCCCTTTTGGCGTTGCCACTGCTCGCCCTTCTCGCACGCCCACTGCCCGTCCTCGTGAAGTTGCCACTGCCCGTCTGTCTCGCACGCGCGGTCCGGGCGCCCTGTATGCTACCATGCCCGTCGTTATCACACGCCTGGGGTCCGTCCTCAAGAAGCTGCCAATGCCCGTCTTTCTCGCACCCGCTGGTCTCACTCCGTGGAGGTTGCCACTGCCCGCCCTTCTCGCACGCACACGTGTTGCCGCCGTGAAGCTGCCACTGCCAATCCTTCTCGCGCGCAAAGCCCATATTTTCTTGCAGGTGCCAAGGCCCGTCCCTCTCGCACTCGCGGTTCAGGCCTTCTTGGGGCTGCCACTGCCCTTCCGCCTCACACGCACAGTGTCTGTCTTCTTGAGGTTGCCATTGCCCGCCTTCTCGTACGCGCGGGCCGCCACCTTTTCAAAAGGTTACATCCCGCCCGCTTGAGCTTTCCCACATGCCATGATATCCGTGCGGTAGCTGATGGCGTCGGGGTATACCTTCGCCTTCCGCGTCCCGCTGGGCGTCAGCGACTTGCGTTCCTGCCCTTTTTTTCACACGCAACCGCGGCTTCAAAAGGTAAGGTTGGTAGGCCTATTGAGCTCCAGCTTCGCCTCCACCGATGCAGCCTTCTGACAATTATCATACTCAGCGCGCCCAGCGCTAAAGCCGATGGCGTCTGGTTATCGTTTCGTTTCTTGCTGTCGGTGCTTCTCCTGCACGCGCGATCCCTCTCTCTCCCCCTCCTTCTCTCTCTCTCTCTCGTTTTTCTCTTTCTCTTTCTCTCTCTCTCTCTCTCTCTCTCTCTCTCTCTCTTGGCCATGCCACTGCCCGTCCGTCTCGCATGAGCAGGCCGCCCATTTTTGCTTGCAGCTGCCACTGCCCGTGTCCGCCTTTCCCACACTGTTTGCCGCGTCGCCCCATTGGTCCCACATCTCCGAATAGATCGTTGTCCGCGAAAGGACCCACCAAAGCTGGCGTAGCTGTGTCCAGCCCACTTCCACCTGGCGGCACGTGGCCAGCTAAGCCTCCGGTCGGCGCGCCCGCGGCTCTTGTTGATCCCGGCTATGGGCCCCCCCCATCATTGACAGGTCCTCGCCACGGCTCGGCCAGCATCCTCACGCGCCGCCGCACGGCACGGGGCCGAAGAGGGAAGAGGGGGAGGGAGGCAGGAAGGGAGAGAGTGAGGGAGAGAGGGAGGAGGGGAAAGATAATGACAGAGGAGAGAGGCAGGGAGGGAAGGAGGCAAGGACAGAATAGGAAGCACGGAGGGAGGAGGAGAGGGAAGGGAGGGAGAAGTGGTGGCGTTGGAAAGCGTCTGGCGGGGCCGCGGGTACAGCTCCTTTAGCGACGCCTCCGTGCAGGGATGGTTGGGGGACATCTCACCACCTGTCGCGGGGTTCCAGCGCCAGCAGCGTTGCGGCGCAACTCGGTCCAAGAGACGACCAAGGGCGTTCCTCCTGGGACGACCCCAACTCCTCCGCCTCGACCACGGGAAGGACCGCCTGCACCCCCTCTACAGTCTACGGAGCGGGCGCCCGCCCCCCCAAAAAAGGCTGCGGCTGGGCTCCCCTCCCGGGACAAACAAGAGGGGAACTGGGGCGCCTCCAAAGGGGGGCCTGGCGACTAGCCTGGCGGCCTCAAGCACCGGGAGGTCATCGGCAACGCGGAGCGGGGACGGGCAGCGTGAAGGTCCGGGACCCCCAGCCCTCCTCCACTGGGGCCCCGCCCGTCCGAACCAACCCTGACGCGACCGCAGTGCGCAACTGCGAACAACAAGGCGTTGAGGGAAAGCCAGGGGAGGCCCTCCCCAGGGCGCGGTTCCCCCGTTCTCTACCCCGGCTCGGTTGGGGGGCGCGGCCCAGCCTGCGGGGAGAGGCGGCATCGGCGCGATGGTTGCGGACTGCACTTAGTGCTGAGCCGGGGCAAGAGCAGGGGGACGCCCAGCCCAGAAGCGCTGCAGCTGCCTATCAACCGCCGCGGCCAGCGCCACCGCCGCGGCAAATACAAGGGCCCGCGACCGCGTGCTGGCCTCCTGGGATTCCGGCTGCGCCTGCGCCGCGCCGCCTAGAACGCAACCCATCCCGCCTCTGTCCACGGGCAGCCGCTGTGCGCGCGGAAGTAGAGGCTGCGCCGCCGCGCGCCGCACAGAGCGCACGACTGCACTGCTGCCCAGGACCAGCGCCCGTCGAAATGCCCCAAGACGAGCAATGCAGCACATCCCAGCTGAGATCGCCCGGAGGGCGGCTTTTGGCCGGATCCACAACCTGCTCCGACTCCGCCATGGCCGCCAGTTTCAGACTCACACTCCGCTGGTGGTCCGGGAGTCGTCTGCAGGAACGGCGCTGAACGAGTCGACATGTGCTCCGGACAGAGCAGCAGCAGGAGGCAGAGCAGCGGGGGGAGGGGGGAGGAGGGTTGCTCCGAGGACTAGTCCGGAGAAGCTGGGGAAGGCGCCTTCATCCAACACCACATCACTCCGAGCACACCCTGAGAGGAGATCCACCGCCACCGGCCCAACCGGCAACCCGCATAGCCTCGCATCTTCCTCCCACCCACCCCATCAATAGTGGAGGCAGGAGGAGGTGCTGGACTCGCGACTGCCGGGACCGAGGCAGGAAAAGCGGTGGGCAAGGAAGAGGGAGGAGACGAGAAGGCATTTCAACGTCCACAGCGAACAAAGTTGGGCCAGCCCTGCTAACCTCAGGCACGACGGAAAAAGGGAGGGAGGGAGGGAGGGAGAGAGGAGGTCAGCCCTTCCCCTCCCGCGGAGGCTCCGCAACGAATCGGTCGTGCACCTGCGGCCGAGGCGTTCGCGGAGACCGCCACTCGCACCCTCGTTGCAACCCCCGCTCTCTCGCCCCCCATCTCCCCCTGCCTCGTCCGCCACCGTGCCGCTAGGCTCCCCGTGGGTGTCCTAGAAGTCCGTGCGAGAAGAGCAACACACAGAAACAAATGGGCCGACCTCACTTCGTGACTCGTGAAGAAAAGGGACGCCTCCCCTTCCGTCAGGAGGTCGACACCAAGTGTCGAGTATGTTGGGTCTTGTAAATATTAAATTGGAGGACCAGCCCCCAGATGCTGGATTTCTTGCGGCGTTCCGCGTGGCCCTCGCGGCTTTTCGCGGGCATCGTGCGGCTGGTCGCGTGACTTTCCAGAAAGGCCAGGGAGCGCCGCCAACACTGGCCAAAAAAAAACCACGAGGCGCCCGAGGCGGTCCCGACACGGCCCACGAACGCTCCAAAACGCCAGCGGTGCCATCCAGACTGCCCTGGAGGCCCCTGAGACCCCCCAAGAGGGAACCAAGATGCCGAAATCATGAATTTCCTCGTGCGTTTGACGTGTTTCAGCGTTTTCGCGCTTTCGAGCTTCAGGGCCACGGGATGGCCCAAGAGGGCTCCAAAGTCGCCTCAAGAGGCCCCCCAAGAGAGCCCCAAGACAGCCCAAGAGGCCCCGACAAAAAAAAAATGAGGTGACCAAGAAAGCCTTAAGATGGGCACATAATATGAAACTAGTGAATAGCCCCCAAGACACCAAGCGTGCCCCGAAGAAACCCCCCAGAAACACCGAAGAGTCACCGGGAGCGCCCCACAAAAGGACTCCCAAGGGCCTCCGAAAGGCATCCCGAACGACCACAACGGGCATGTTTATCTATACATATATATGTATATATACACACATGCATACATACACATACATACACATATACATATACATATACATATACATATACATATACATCTACATATACATATACATATACATATACATATACATATGCATATACACATACACATACACATACATATACATATACATATACATACATACATACATACATACATACGTACATACATATTGATAAACGGGCATGCAAGAGGCCTCCGGCGCACCACCCAAGCACGGTGGCGGGCCTGACCGAAGTCCACAAGCTGAATAACACGTTGTCGCCGAAGCACCAGGCACGCAAAGCAGGGCTGGCGGCGGGCAGGACGTTTCGTTCGGCACGTTCTCGCCGCTGCGTTGTCCTGGATATCGACACCTTGCGAACTGCCACGCGGGTGGAAGGCGGTTGGCTTCCAGAACAAGTGCACAGGGCACAATCGTTGAAGGCTGCACCTGTGCAGAATGGGACTATCTCTCTCTCTCTCTCTCTCTCTATCTTTCTCTCTCTATGTTCCTGGGTATCTTCATATGACTACGCTTACTCAGTTATATTTAGTTTCCTCTCTTTCTCTATCCCTCTCTCTCTCTCTTTCTATGTCTCTCTCTCTCGATGTCTCTCCTTCTCTTCATATGTATATCGATCCCTCCCTCTCTCTCTCTCTCTCTCTCTCTCCCTCTCCCTTTATGTGTGTCCTCTCTCTGTCTCTCCTCTCTATGTTTCTCTCTCTTTCTCTCTCTCTCTCTCTCTCTCTCTCTCTCTCTCTCTCTTTTTCTCTCTCTCGTACCCCAAGGAGCGGCCCGGCACCAGGATGGCCCGCCCCAGCAGGCCGCAGGCGGCCACGCGCAAGCGCGCGGCCGAGCAGGCCCTGGGCACCAGCGAGGCTGCGCCCAGGAGGTGGCCGAGCGCGAGGCGCACAGCCAGAATGCTCGCGGGGCTAGCAGGGACCCCGCCCGCAGCGCGAGACCAGGCTCACCCGAGCGGCCCCCCAGTACATGGCCCTTGCCGCCCAGCAATCGGCTCAGATAGAGCCTCTTCTTCTTCTCCCCCGCCGTGGCCTGCGGCCCTGGGGGCAGGCTGCCGCCGCACACCGCCTTCAGGCCCTCGGCGCGGCCCACGCCCTTCAGCTGCGAGAGCTCCCCGCACTTGCAGCAGAAGGCGCGCGGCCCCGCGACGCGCATGCCGTGCCCGAGGTGCACCTCGGGCAGCTGCACCTCCCCGCGTTGAATACGGATGCCTTCCACTCGTTCAGGGCTCCTCGAGCGCTGGGCCACACGGGCCCCCCTTGTGCGGCCCCTGGGCCCATCCGCCGCACCCGCCAGGCTCAAGTGGCCGCCGCGACCGCCGCCGCCAGAGCGCAGGCAGCCGCCACAGGGAGGCCCTCCGCCCCTCGCGCAGCCGCAGCCTCACCTCCTCCGTCAGCCAGCCTGGGGCCACCGTTCCCCTCCGCAGCAGCATCGCCTGAGCCGCCCCCGCTGGCTGCCGCGGCAGCATCTGCCCCGCTGCGGCCGCGTGCGAGGGCGGAGGCAGCCCCGATGGCGCCGCGCCGGGGTGCGGCAAGTCGCCCTCGCCGCCGCCGCCGCTGCCCAGGTCGTCAGGCCCGCCCCGCGTGGCGCCCTCCCTCGGCAACTGCGGACTCTGCCAGGTGCCTGGCCACAGCCGCCGCAAGGCCTCGACCCCTCGGCTGCGGATGCCCTGGGGCCGCGGCAGCCCAGCCTGGCGGGGCGGCTTCTCGCTGGCGGCCCAGCGAAGCCAGGCAGCCCAGGCAGGTTGACCACTGCCACACCGATGACGTCCTCCATGGCGTGGCAGACCTCATCCAGCGTGGCCCACTGCATGGCGGCGAAGTGCAGCCACTCCTCCAGGGACGCCATGTCCATCAGGTGCTCCACCGTGAAGCGCCGCACGTCGGCCTTCATGAGCCAGGCGTGCCTGACCATTGCCTGCGCCAGCGCCCTCAGGCCTATGGAGCCTGCAAGCCTAGTCGCCTCTTCCCTCGTCTCCTCCCTGCCTGGCCTGGCGAGCCAAGTGAGGACGCACTGCGCCGCCCAGGCAGTCCAGGAACTCTCCGCAGCCTCCGAGTCGCGCAGGTCGAACACCCAGCAGCTCGCGAACGCCCTCAGCATGCAGCGCAGGGCCTCGAGGCCGAACACGGCATCAGGCTCGGGGCTGCTGTTGCTCTCGGACTCGTTGTGGTCCAGAGGGTGGATACGCCCTGGCGGAGAGCGGGACCTGCTGGCCGTTCGTCCCGTGCTGCGCCTGCGCCGCTGGGCGGGGGCAGCTTGCGGCCCCTCTGGCCGCTGCGGCCCCTCCGCGGCGCCCCCCGGCCACGGTGGCGTCGGCTCATGCGGCGCGGCTCGTCCTCCCACAGGGCCATGCTGCTGGCTGGGGCGCCCGCTCGGCGGGGACCTCGAATTCCCTCGCCTCTGGGGCGCGCCGCTCTGCCGACCCCCGTCACCTCCTCTGCTAAGAACTCCTCCAATGGGATCGAAGAAGGCGAAGTAGAGCGGCCCTCGCCGCCCCCCAGCGCGCCGCGCACTGCCACGGTCACACAGGAAGGCCCGCGCCGCAGCGTGGTAGCAGCGCAGCCGCAGGAGCTTGATCCGCCTGTCTTCGCCCTCCAGCTGCAGCGCCTCGTCAATGCGGGACTCCCTGAACGGCCCGCCGTCCCGCCAGCCACGCTCACAGAACTCTTCGGACCGCCTCAGCCTCTCCGCACTGCGCGTCTCGGCGTTGCTGTGCACAAAGAAGCCTCGGTAGACTTCCTCGTCCAGCATCCTGGACACGTACTCGACGCACTCCTCCATCCAGGACGCGTAGGCAAGGCTCTGGCCCATCAGATCAACGACCCAGGAGCTGGCCAGCAAGCCCAGGGCGGCCTCTAACGGCCCCGAGCGGTCCCACGCGTCGATGGCGCGGTGGTCGTTGCCCTCGCGCGGCCGCTCCAAGCCCACGCGCCGCCCAGCGCTGGCGAGCCCCCCGGCCTGGGCCAGGGCGGGGCCCGGGCCGCCCCCCCTCTGCGCCCGTGGCTGCCCAGCAGCTGCAGCGCCAGCAGCACCTTCAGCAGGGGTGCCCTTGGCCGCATCCAGCAGGTAGTTGACCTTCTGCTGCATCGTCAACTTCTGGCTCTGGCCCTGTGTCGCAGAGGCCGCTCCACTCATGGGCAGGAGCTCTTCCCCCTCCAGGCGCTCAGCCGCCTGCAGGCTTGCATTGACTGCAGCCGAGCTCGCCATAGGCCGACCCTGACCGCAGCGGGCTCGCATCCTGCCCAGCTCCGTGGGCTGGCAAGGCCTGCAGTCCAGCAGCTCCCTTGCCTTGGCCGTGTAGGCCTCGCGCCCGCAGTGGGCGCACTGCACCCCGACGGAGCTGGTGACCTGGTACTCGTGCCTCGTGAGGCTGAGCTTCGGGGCAGCTGGCCCCCTCCAGACCTGCCTGCGCTGGAGTTTGCCGCCCTCCCCGAGCGGCCGCAAGTCCAGCTGGCAGATCCGCGCCGCCGCCCATCCCAGGTACGCGGCCGTGTCCAGGGCCCGCTAGAGCTCCGCGTGCAGCGCCTCCGCCGCGTTGTTCGGCAGCCTGGTGACCGCGGCGTCGAGGTTGGCGAAGAAGTCCGCCCAGCAGTTCCCAAGCCAGTCCAGTGGGCACAAGCCCTCGCCCAGCGCTTGGTGGGGGGCGCGGTGGGCAGGCACCCAGCGGAACCGCGGCGGCGGCCCACCTCGCTTCGCCGCGACCGCGTGAAGCTGCCTCCACATGCTGGCATGCCTCGCTCTGGCCGGCTGCGCCGACGGTGTCCAGCCGCTGCCCTCCGCGACCAGGGACTGCAGGTCGCTGACGAAGACCCGAACGAAGCCAGCCTGCGCCAGCGGGGCCAGGCACGCGTGCCTCTCCGCCCTCCCCGCAGTCTGGCGTGGCCCAGGCAGAGGCCCGCAGGCCGCCTTGAGGGGGGCCCCGTCAGGCCTGAGGGCCACGGCGGCCCATCCACACTTGCGCGCCTCGGGGGCTCTGGAGGCGTGCCCAGAGCCGCCCGTGCAGACCACCGACGGCTATCCTCCTGCGTGGCGCCCCACTCGATGACCACGTTGCCCGACGGCGCGGGCGGCGGCGTCGCTGGCATCAGCGGCAAGCCGTACGCCAGCGGCAACTCGCTATCCCCGATGGTCCACTACTGCTCGGCTTCCTCAAACTGGCGCCTCATCGCCACGATCGGCTTGCGGAACGGCCCCTCGTGCTCCAGCTCGTCGTCACGCGGCTCCATGAGGGCAGGGCAGGCACACCACCTGTGCATCAGCGTGTCCTCGGCACCCCCGCACGCCTGGCACAGGTCAGAGGCAGCGTAGCCGCGGGCGTGCCTCCAGGCGTTGGTGAAGCGCCCCCCAGCCCACACCGCCTGGATGGCCCCCAGCTCCGCCGCTGGCCGTGCCCTGCACGCAATGGCCCGGATGGCCCTGGGCCAGAGGGGCTCGCATTGGCCCTCTGGCAGGTGGGCCACCAGCCGCCTGCACTGCCAGCGCTGTATGCCCTCCACCAGCGCGTCCTTGATGCCCCGAGGGGCAACCCGCAGCATGGGCAGCGCCTCGCCCAGGTCGGACTGCAGGGCCCACGCTGCTGTCATAGTCCAGCCGACGCGGCCGAGCGTGAGCCGCGCGGCCCCGAGCGGGCCATGCGCCGTAGCCCAGGGCAATGTGCCCGCTCGCATCGCCTCCGCCAGCTTGCACCAGCTAGCGTTCAGGCTGGCCAGGGAGCCTCGGCCCTCCCAGAGGCGGCTGGCCAGGCGCATCACCAGCGGGATGGTGTCCGCGTAGATGGGGTCGTAGTCCACTCGCCTCTGCAGCAGCATGACCGCAGCTGTGCCACCGCCCGCCTCGGCCCCCGCCGTGACCGCCGCCACCGCCCAGCTGCATGTGGCCGATCCGCCAGGCCCACCACCCCAGCTCCATGGCCAGCCGAGGGGGGCAGCCCCGTGGCGACCAGGGCAGCCGCACGCCTCCCAGCAGCCCGCCCAAGCATGGCCACTCGGCTGCGCCTGGCCGCGAGGGCCTGCAGACGGCGTTTCTCCTGCGTGCGGAGCACCTTCCGCCCGTGGAGCTCGTGCCCCAGGTTGCGCACCCAGGACTTGTCCGCGAGGCCCGCTCTCTGCATGGAGTGCGCCAGCAGTCGCGCCCTCAGCCTGGGGGACGCCAGGTAGCCTGACTTCTGCGGCTGCATGACCAGCCTGAGCTCCACCATGCTCGACGAGAAGCTTTTGAGAGCCTCGGACAAGCTGTCGTCGGCCTCGCCACGTGGGCCGCCCCAGTCCAGGGTGACGTCGTCCACCAGGCCGCGCGGCGTCACTGATGGCGCAATGGCGTGCGCCCGCTGCAGCGCACGGAGCGTGAGCACCAGTAGCAGCGAGCTGGCATGACCGCACCCTGCGATGTTCCCTTGCCAGGCCACGAAGAGGTCCGACGTAGTGTTGAACGCTGCCAGCGTCCGTGGCTGCCGATAGGAGCTGAGCAGCATCCACGCCAGTCTCATGGGGGCCCCAGTGCGCGGGCCTCCACAAGCTGAGCCTCGGGCGCCACCATCTCGTAGGCCTTCCAGGTCGAGGGCCACCTGGGCGGAGTCCCCGCCACCGAGGCGCGCCTGCTCCTTGGCCAGGTTCAGCTCGCACGCGGAGTCAGAGCTCGATCGCCCAGGGCCCGTGCCCCAGACCAGGGAAGAAGGGTGGGCACACTCCCATGCCTTGGTGATCGGCCTTCTCGCCCTGCTTCACACTCTCACCAGCGTCGGCACGAGGCCAATCAGCCTGCTTCCTCCGTCAGGCTTGGCAACCTCACCATAGTGTTGATGAGGCGGCCGCTCGGCCACGCTAGGAGCTCTTCGCGCTTGTGGAAAACCGCTATCATGGCGTGCAGGGCGCCGTCGGAGACTCTCTCTCTCTCTCTCTCTCTATTGTTCTCTCTCTCTCTCTCTCTCTATCTTTCTCTCTCTCCTCTCTCTCTCTCTCTCTCTCTCTCTCTCTCTCTCTCTCTCTAGTTATCCCTCTCGCTCAATGTATATATATATACATACACGGATGGAGAGTGTTTCGCCTATCCTCTGATAGTTGGTGCAGAGGCTCCTGTAGGTGAAAATGTTTCTTGATGCCATTGTATTTGATTGTCGTGTTCATCGCGCTCGGGGAAGGCTGCCCGGCCCCGGCGAACCGAAGACCGCGTGGCTAGGATGTCCGGTAAGCAGGTTCACTGTAGGCAACAAGCGCACGCGCGCCGGCCGGCCGAGGGGGGCCAGGCCGCGCGCGCACACATTTTGCCTCGAGCAAGCAAGCAGCTGCGGGAACCCCCGCATCCGTCTCTACCCCAGTCAACCCTTCGTTGAAGAGGATGGACAGGGAAGCTGAAACATGCGAGGGGGGCGTTCGTCACGGCCCCCCCCGCGGCCTCCCGGCGCGCCATTGCCGCGCAAAGGCGGGCGCCGGCACATTGGCGAACACCCCGAGCAAAACTGGCGGGGCGCGCCAAGTAGAACTTCGCAGGCCCCGAGAGCGCTGGACAGACTCCACCGCCCCCCCAAGGGGCCACTTCGGGCCCCTCACTGCGTCAACCCCAGAAAAATTTTAGGGCGCGCGTGGGAGGGAAGGGAGTGCTCCTGCCACCGCTCCGCGGGACTTGCCGAGGGCCCCATGGCTCGCCCCGCCCGATATAACACTACCGCCAGCGCGTTCCGCCCAGCTCTCCACTCACACGGTAGCTCGCCTGCTGAAAGCTTCGGCGCACCAGCAACGCTGGGGCGTCGCCCCGCAGCATGCGGGGCCAGGTCGAGGCGCTGTCTCGACGCCACCACCCTGTGACTGCTGCCTGGACCGCCACGCTTTGGCTCGCTCCAATTCTGGCCACTGCTCCGGGACTCACACCCGGCAGAGCTCGACGACGGCGCCCAGAAAGTCCAGAGGTCAGCGGGGTCCGCGCGCCAAGGGGGGGCGCGAAAGTTCTTCTTCCGCGCGCCCCCCCTGCTCGCCCCTCTGTCGCCGCGGTTGGGCAGGCGACTCTTTGGGCGACACCTCGAGCACTCGCGCTGGCGAGGGCGGCGCAGGCGTCGACCGCGTCGACGGACGCACTGCCCAGGTCAAACGGACGCCCGTCGCGCCACCCCTGGCAACCGACGCGCCTGGCCAACTGCGGCGAAGCGCTCACAGCAGCATCCGCCGGCCCGCCCCCCACGTCGCGGGCCCCCAAGCGCGCCGCCGCATAACGGCATGGCGATCAGGGGGCGCGCAGCCCCCACGACGCTTCTGCACGCGCGACGGGCCACGGCCCCCCTCGCACGTCCTCGCCGTCGCCGAACGGGGCCGAGGAGGTGGATGCGGCGTCGCGCCGCGGCGCCTGCGACGCGCGGATGAGGACGGTCTGCCTCCGGCGCCGTCGCCGGGCGGGCCATCATCACCACCGTCACCATCGCCGCGCGGTTCATCGGGACATGGTCATCTGCGGGGCCACAGTCCTCAATCGGAGTCCAGTCGACTCGTTGCTCTTCCCACATGCGGCCCTTCAGCCCATCCAAAGTCCGGGCAATGGCCAGATCTCCCCGTGGCGGACCAGCGATCCCAGCCCGCTGCAGGGCTGCTGGACTTAGCATTCGGAGGACGAATGTTATACTACATGAAGGGCTCAAAGTAGCCGAAGTTCCCACCGTCGCGACGGACGCGGCGACCCAGGAATGGCCACCACGCCTGTGCAGGCACCACATAGCGGGGACCAGCGGCTGGAGTCCCATTCAATCGCTGATAATTGAGCCAGCTTAACTTCAGCTCTCGCGACTTCTCTTGGAGCTAGTCGTGAATCTCTGCTGGCGAAGTGCGCGCGTGCTCGACGTTGGGCGCCATGCCAGGTCAGTCATGATGTCGTTGGAAAGATCTGTCTTGCCGGGGCCGCCTTCGACGATATTGCGGCACTACAGATCGATGCCACTTCACCTCGGACTTATGCGGGCTCTTGCCTGCGGCCCGACCTTGCAAGAACTTCGTTTGCCGCCTACTTCGGGCAAGGACATTGCCCCTGGTCTGCGGGCCAATTCCCTGATCCATCACCTTCTGGAGCCCACGAGTTTTCCGCGCAGCTGCAGGCCGCGGAATGCGCGGGGATCCAAGATGAGGCCCATAAAGAACAGCCAGCGAACAATGCAAGCAACGCATCGCTCCCAACCGATTCCGACACGCCTTATAGCAGACCAGGTAGCCTGGGCCCCGAGGACCCAGCAGGAGCAACTTGTCCGCTAGCCTTCCCGATGCCACTTCGTCATCAGGGTCGCCCGCCTCTCTGAATGATTGTTTGCGCTGCACGAAATCGCCGCAGCCTGAACCCTGATCTGTCGCATGCCAGACTCCACCATAGCGGCGATCAACCACCGCGGCCCACGACGCTGTCGGGGCCAATGTATCTGCCACGATTCGTTGGAATATTTGGCGGGTGGCATCCCACCGAGGGCGACGCGCGGCAGCCAGCGATCCATCCGGCATGACCCAGAATGTCCAATAATCAAAGCCACGCGAGGACACCGTCACCAAGCACTGACCCGCGAACACAGCTGGGCGGCCCACATCGAAGACGCGCGCATCCAGACCATCTGCCAAGATTGCCCTTGACCAGCCATTCGGCCGAAGCCTGGTCTCGGTGGCCCCGCGGCCCCCCGTTCCAATCCTGGCCGGGCGTCGCCATTCCCCCGATGGCGCAAACCATTCCAGGCGCTGCGACGTCGCCACCAGGGCGCGGGAACTTGCCCAGTTTGAAAGACATGGCCGACGTGAACTTGCACTGTCTCTTTCCATGCATGTCTCGCTCTGGGAAATCACCTCGTCCACCGTAAATGGCAGAATGCTGGGGAGGTCGAATGGGAAGACCATTGCAGCCGGCGCGTACGACAGCGCACGAGCTCAGGCAAGACCACATTCAGCGAGCGCCCCAGTGAAGCACGGAATGCGATCGGCCGAGCCCGAGGCGGTCCGTTATCAGCGCGAAAGGGGAAACTACAATCTCGGGGCCTCTTCCGCCAAGAGCGCTCGCTCCAGCGCGGAGGCCGAGCGACGGCCCCGTCTCCGACCATTTGAACGCCGAGAACGCGCGCTGCAATCCTGGGCAGCGCGCTCAGAGCACGCAGGAAACGAGCCCACGCGCTGTCCGAACCCTCAACCATGAGCGATGACCGCGCGCCTTGCCTCGATCAAGCCACCCGAACTGAGCGCGTCAGCAGCGCTGCGCTTGACCTTATCTCCAGGAGTAGCGAACCTAGGCGACGGGGCTTCCTCGTCAGCGCCGCTGAAACACGCGCGCACACGGTGGTCAGCAGACGGCGCAATTGGCGCGAAGTCGCATGCCTTGGCGGGCAAGTCGCGCGCCTGGACTGCGCTGCAACGCGCTCGAAGAACATCGCCCGCCGCAGCGCCGCCTGCGCGGTCTCGATCCCGAAAGGCCTCGAGCAGCGCATCGCCCGTGAATGCGCCCCCCCCCTCTGGCCGGCCCGATCGCGTCGTCTTGGATGAAGCGGGTTCCGGAAAGGGCGCTTGAGTGGCGCGGCCGGGTCAGCACGGCGCGCTGCCTCCAGTCTGCGCGCCAAAAGCAGCGCGGCCATCAGCGGGTTCCCCCCCCCCGCCATCCTGAATCGGCGGCAGAGGGGCGCCCGGTCCGCGCGCGCGCCCCGCGCGTCGGCGATCGTTATAGACCGTCGCCCCCCTTTCGAGAATGAGCATGCGAAGTGCGCAGTTTCTCCGAAATCTGCCCGTCTTTCGGGGGGGTCGGCGGCGCGGAGAGACAAAGGCACCCGCGCGCGAAAACGTCGGGCCGCGCGCCCCCCCCCCCCCCACCCCCCACACGCACACGCTGCAAGTGGCATCAGGTCGGGAAGAACGCGCCCCGCGTCTGCGTTCAACGCCGGTCGCGGCGCTGGATCGACGCGGCGAAGACCGCGACGACACTGTCACCGTGCACGGGCGTGGGGGCCCGCTGATCTCCTGCCATTTCAACGCAGGGCTCCACATGCATTTCGGACTAACCACCTCCGCCCTCGAGCAGCCCCTCGCCCGCCGCCGCGCGCCGCGACGCGCGGGCGCGGGGGGCGGGAAGACGACCGGGATTTGCAGGCTCTGTCGCAGGGGAGTCCACTGGGACTCCGGCGGGCCGCTGCGTTTGGCCCGCGTCGCGTCGGGATCACGCCCCGGCGCCTCGGGCGGCAGCGGCGGCGGCGCACCGGCGCTGCCGGCGACCCTCCGCGCGCGCCCTGGTGGCAGGCTGGTTGATACGCATGGCGCTGAGACACCCCTTTCTCATGGGAGGGGGCCCGCCTCTCCCTGCACCCCCTCGCCGCGCAGCGCGGAGGGGGCGTGCGATCCGCGCGCCATCTCTCGTAGAGATTTCGTTCCTCGGCCATTGTCCATCGTCATTCTGCAACGAACTCGCGCATGTCCGGTGGGAATAGGCCCTCTGAAACTCGCGCCCTCACTGACCCTATATAACAGGGCCCGAACCCAGCCATGCCCAGGGCCCCCAGGAGCCCCTGATACTACCGCCCACAATTCTTCGACGGACTGCCATGGCGCGAGAGCGATGAAACTGTCATCGCCTGAGCCTCTGCCTTCCCAAACGCCGCGGCGGCCTTTCGGTGCGCGGTCTGGCTCTTCAGCGAACGCCGTGCCCACCCCAGGTCAGGCTTCGTTCCGCCAGCGAGTAAAATCAGAGAATCGGAAGCAATCCGCGCCAATTTCCTATCTTGTGCGAGCCTCTCCTCCGAGGGGCTGGCGGAGTATGGCGAGAGAAAAGAGTGCGTCTCCACATCTCGGGGCCGGTGCACGAGGCCACTCCATCCGGTGGTGTCGCGTAGGTCTGGGGTGACGTACTTGATGAGATGGTGGATCACCTGGGCTCCGTCACTCGTGATTCGTGCTATCTGATTTCTCTGGCGAGGGCTAGACATGACTGCGCGAAACTCACGCGTCAGCCGCTCGACGTCAATGGGCCTGCTCCCAGGACGGGCCCTCTCTTGCGCCGAATCATTGATTCTCCACGAGGGCACGAAGGCCGTCTCCCGAACTCCGTCGGACTCTTCTTCGAGCGGGCCAGGATCAACGTCGGCCCGGAAGTCCAGCTCGAAGTTGCCCCGCCTCGAAGCTGAAAGGGCGACCCTGCACAATATTTTCTTGTGGGTCTGGGAGGCAGCGGCGAAGTGAAACCACAAAGCAGTGCGGAATATGTTCGCCAGCTTAGAACAGCACCAATGGTTCTTCTCCCGAAAGCGAGGAACCCGTCGGTGCGATGTGGTGTGCTCGACGGGGCCAGGATTTGGAAGTCGCACGCGACGTCCAAGCCGTCGCCAAAGAGCTCACAGCCCACAGAGTAATACGTGTGGATGGAAAGCACTGCCTCCGTATCCTCAAACGCATACACTCCCCAGGCTTTCGCGCCAGCCTTTCGTGGTTTGGGTCCTGCCCCCTTCGGCATCCCGCGAAACCTCGAGGACGCCTGCTTTGATTGTGCCCCCCAGGCGGTTAATGTCAACCGCATGGGAGAAACGACGCAAGCCTTGCTGCATCTTGTTCTCAACAAAGCCTTCGGGGAGACCGTAAGGGATCGTCAATATAGTATGATGGTCATTGCTTTCATACTGAATCTTCCCTAGGTCGAACACGTCACAGAGTGTCGCGTTCCGTTCATTGGCCGAGCACCCGTGCGCAGGGGTGGCACTGCCCCCCGAATGCTGTTGGCCAGCCACTTGTACTGGCTGATGGTTTCGATCGTTTTCGACTCGCCACCGTCAGTCTGGTCGGGCCACGCGGACATTGGGAGTTTCCTCCTCCTCCTTTTCCTCCGCCTCCCCCTCCTCCTCCTCCTCCTCCTCCATTTCCTCCTCCTCCTCCTCCTCCTCTTCCTCCTCTTCCTCCTCCTCCAGATGTTCCTGCTCCTCCTCCTCCTCCTCCTCCTCCTCCTCCTCCTCCTCCTGTTCTCTCTCCTCTGTTTCCTCCTCCTCATCCATTTATGCAAAGATGAGCGAGAGACTGCCTCCTTGGGGTACCAGATGACCAGGTCGTCGCTTGCGCCAGAGCCCGCATCGCGACTGCTCAGAAGGCCTCTGCGGGAGCGAAGAGAAAGTGGAAGAGGATGAAGGAAGGTTTGGGAGTGACCACGAGGACTTGACACCCACAACTCAGAATTGCGACGGGCACCTGCGCAATACCTTGAGCCCTGGGGCCCTCATTGAAGGAGGACAGGAAATGGGAGAGGAGGGGAAGGAAGGAGAGGGAAAGGAAGGGGGGAAAAGACAAAACGGGGGTCCCAGCGCCAATGCGCGGACCCTCGAAGGGTTATAATTGATGCAGTGCTTCTCTCTTCGGAACGAAAAAGGTACTGCGGATGGGAAAAGACGGAGAGGACAGGAAAAAAGGGTAGCAGAGCCCGGGCCAGCCTGTGGCGGAGATCTGGGGGCAAGCTGGGAAATGCCACCCAGGCCCTGGGATCCGACCTTGCAACACAAAAACACACAAACACACACAAACACACACACACACACACGAACACACACACACACATACACACACACACACACACACGCACGCATGCATGCACGCACGCCCGCCCGCCCACACACACACACACACCACCACCACCACCACCACCACCACCACCACCACCACCACCACCAACAACAACAACAACAACAACATCAACAACAACAACCATTTTAAGGCTGTACGCTCTTACTTGCCCGCGAGTCATTCAACACGTATGCCCTACACCCTCGATGCCCGCCCTCTTCGTTTTCGATCACACCCCTTCCGGGGGGATTATTTCTCTTTGCTGGGGCCGGCGGACTTAGACGCACGGGCAAACCGGAACGGGCGGACAATCCTTCGGGGGCGTACATCCCTTCGCCCGCCATTGGAATTGGCGCAGGCCCTGCAAGAGGAGGAAGGGAAGAACGAGGGAGAGTTGGAGGAAGGGGGGGGGAAGGACGAAGGAAGAGGGATGATACCACGTTGTGAAAGCGGCCTTGGCGCGTGCGTGGTTCCTGAGCGCCGAAACGCAATTCCAGAATAATTTGTGAGGACGTCGCACGCGAGAGCGCAGTCCTGAGCACATTGTGACGAAATCTCAGGCGGAAGCGGGGGCCCTGACTAAGTTGCGAGGAAGTCTCAAGCGGGAGCGCCGTCCCTGAGCAAATTGCACGGAAGTCTCAGGCGGGAGCGGGGGTCCTCACTAAATTGCGAGGAAGTCTCAAGCGGGAGCGCCGTTCCTGAGTCAATTGCGCGGAAATGTCACGCAGGAGCAGGGGTCCTGAGTAAAATTAGAAGAAATCTCAGGCGGGAGCGCCGTCCCCACGTAAATTGCACGGAAGTCTCAGGCGGGAGCGGGGGTCTTGATTACATTGCGAGGAAGTCTCGGACGGGAGCGCCTTTCCTGAGTAAATTGCGCGGAAGTCTCAGGCGGTCTCAAGCGGGAGCCGTTGTTGTTGTAGCCCGGGGGGCAGGGGCACAGTTTGAGCAGGAAGACTTTCCTTGTGAAAAAACAAGGTGCGAGCCCCGGGGGTGGCACTTCAATCGAAAAAAATCAATGTGCACCGGTGGGGGGGGATCAACAATAATTATTCTTCAAGAATGAGAGTTCAACGACGACGCACAAAAACAAACATAAAAAAAAACAACGGGAGCCCAGGACGCCATCCTTCTGTGGCACTTCTGGAACCGGATCGAACTGGGATGTGGGATGGAACCGGGGCGCGAGACCGGTGGAAAAACAAACCGGTGCGAAACAAACATGCACCGCCCGGATCTCAGGGATCCTCACCCGCCTCCTCCCGCCCCTGCTCCTCACCCTCCTCCCCAGACCCCCGACATCTTTTTTGTTGTTCTCTTCCAAAACGTCGACCCCCAGAGGTCTGGATTCCTTCCCCGTGTGATGAATCCTTGGGGCCGCGCCCTCGCTACAGAAATTGGAAATCGGACATTCTACGCATGGCTGAAATTTGGATCACTCGCTGCAGACGAACAACCAAAAATCAAATTGCAAACGCTCGGCTTTGGAAGAAGGTCCGCCACGAACCACCGTCGTTCCTTTGAAAATCGCGGATAGATGCAAAGGGAATCTTGGTCCCATGATATCCAACGCTGATATCGTGGGCTACATGCTCAGCGAGAGAAGGGCTGGGATAAGCCATGGACGAGCAGATATTTCAACCGTCAAGCAAAAGAGAGGAAGCACTGGAAGGGAGGAGGCCGGCCGGCCGGCGACGCGACGACGAGGGGGGCGCCCCTCGGCGCGCGCGCGTGGCGGCGCGCTCCTTTTCTGGCTCGATCTCGAATAGCTGTCAAGGTAAAGCAATGAAGGCAGCAGGAGAGGCAACTATAAGATGAGGCGGGGAGGAGCATATTCACTCCCCCCGCGGCGGGGTCCGTAAGAACCCGTCAGCCTACATCCGCCAGCCTCTGTACAGATGTACAACCTGGAGGAGCGCGAAACACTCCAGGCCGGCTGGGGGCGATGGGCTGAAGGGCCCCGACGTGCCCCACCTCCGCGAAAAGCCGGGCCTCACATATCGCAACGACTTGGTCGCGCGATTGGCTTCTTTGCTCACTTCTTGTGCCAGTACTTTTTCTGGCCATCGCGCCGCGAGCCCTCGTCGGAACGCGCTGGCGGCACAGGGGGCCTCGGCGCCCACGATGAAGAGGCGCCGCCTTCCGGCCGAGCGGGCGAGTGAACGCCGAAGGCTTGGCGCCTTTGCCGGAAGCAGCAGATGGGGCTGGCCTCGCACGCTTGGTCCTGCCCTCTTCCTTGCTGTATCCCTTGCCTTGGTATTTCGGGAACCAATAGTTATAGTCATAGTTGGACAATCTTTGTTGGAGTGCCAATGAACTTGGTCACGATGCACCCAGAAACCTAACACCTCGCCGCCCTCGCGGGGTTCCAGTCTTGTTGCTCACCTTCGTCGTGGCGCGCATCCATGGCTCCTACGGCCATTGGCTGACCCCGCGCGCTGCCACCCCTATCCCACCCCCGCAGGGGCGGACCAGGCAAAGGACGGAGCATGATCCTCGATGTGAGACATAACAGCGCCCGCAGCACGGGAACCGCACGGACCGTCCGGGGAACGCCTCGAGGCTTCGTTTCCCGCCGAAACGGTTGACCGCCGGCGGAGTAGGGAGACTCAGCGGCATCATCACCGACCCGGACGCCAGGGACGTTGGACGGTCTAGGCGGCGCAGGCGGAGCCGGGAGGCCAGCAGAGCCTGGCCCTGCTGGCGGCGCGGAAGCCACCTCCTGATCGGCTGGGCCGTCGGAGGGTTCGTCAGCGGCTTCCTCATCGCGAAGGCGGGTCTCATGCAGTAGCTTCGCGTACCGAACGATACCCATCGCGGCAGTCGCCACGTAATGACCGAAGCGCCCGTTAGCAATGCGAAGGGGAGCGGGGTCACAGTCTTGTAAGGGATTGGATTCCAAGTATGGGTACAGAAAAGCGACGGCGGCTTGCAATGCTCCGCCGTGGCGACGGAGCTCGGCACGACGCTCAGTGCAAAGGTCGCGGGACCACGTTTCGACGAGGTCATCGGAATTGACAGCCGAACGGATACGGCTGTCCAGCGCATACGCATCGAGGCGGCGCTGTTCGACGTTGACTCCTTCGGCAGGCTCGCGAGTGAATATAGCAGGCGTGGGAAAGGCGATGCGATATCCGTCGTCGAGGAAACAATTAATGATCTCGCGAACAATCACAAAAGCACGCATGACAGAAAGGTCGAGGTTGAGCTGCGCGATGGGAGTCCGCCAGTTTTGCCCGAGGACCTTTTTGCACCGATGCTGGAACCACATGTTCTTGCTCTCCCTTCAGGCGCGACAGGCGATGCCTGTCGGCCGTTCCCGTTCTAGGGTTATGACACATGTGCCCCATGACGAACTGGAATGCGACGCTGATGGCTTCCTGCTGCGACGTTGCTACGCGCAGGGTGCCGTCCTCGCGCCGAAAGGCCATCTGTCGCTCGGATGGGTCGAGAGTGACTTCCCCGTTCAGCCACCGCTGGGTGAGGTATCCGCGGACGGCATTGAAGTCAAGGGGAATTGGAGCAGATCTCGCGTCGTCTGTCGACTCGGCTTGGCCAGCGACGGGAGTAGCAGCGCGGAGTGGGTGCGTGGCGCAGATCTCATTGCGCTGGGACACTGATTTTGCCGAGCGAGAAGGGCGAGGAGTGAGCTGCTGCGCCCGAACTACAGGCGGGCGCCCACGATGGCTGGGCCATGTGGCGTCTTCTCCAGCACCCTGAGCGGCAGACGTCCATGGCGCAATCCCAGAACGTGCATTGTACACGGTCTGGAGAGTCGGTACGAAGGTGCCTGCTCTTTGCTGGGCTGTCCCCCTGCGTTCCCATCCTCCAGTGGGGCTTGTGCTTGCCTCGTCTTCATCTGGCCAGTCGAACGCAGCCAGAGGAGGGCATGAAAATGGGCGCGCGTACTGGTCGACGTCAGTGGCCCATATGAGGGGCAACCACTCTGCGAGCTTCGGCTCGTAGACATTGGCTCTGTGCGCCAGGAACTCCAGCCACTTGATGAACCGTCTCTTGAGAGGTTCGATGTACTGGAAGAAAGGTCCACGGCGCGCCGGCGGCTGGGCCGCGACACTGTCTGGGACCCAGGCGGGAACACTAGCGGGGCGGCTGTTGCCCAAGTTTTGGCCGGCCGCAGCCATAAGGATGTGTCCACCGCTCGCCCATTTACGCTCCATTTTCAAATTGGCATGTTTGCCATGACGTCAGCCGACGCTTTGCCCTGTCGCTTTCGTCTCTCAAGAATGCACTGGTCTTGGCGCCAGGGCAAGTCATCATGGTCACGAACGATCAGCTCGAAGCCGTTCCTCCACAGTGTATTTTCGATGGTATGCGACTAGAGGGACTGGAGCATATAGTTGTGCGCAACCATGTACTTGCAATGCACGGCGCTGTTGCAGAAGGGGTAGCGGCCGAAGCCGGCGCGGACCCAGTGCAGACTAGGGCAGAGAAACCGACCGTCATCCAACCAGGGGACGGACTGAAGGAACTCAACAGCCCTGTCAGGCCATTCGCAGAAGTCTGGCCGAGGCGCAACC